GCTATTATTTTCCCAGTCCGTTTCTCCAGCCGTCCAGCTAGCTCTTCCCTGTCCCACCGCTTCCAGTTTCTTTGAGCAATGTTACATGCCAATTGTTGTGAACGAATTCCTTTGTCAAAAATCGTTATGGACCGGGAGGGAATCGAACCACTCCCGCTCACATCTGGACGTGACGTGCTATCCACTACACTACACTGCTGGTCTCTATGACTCAGAGGACTGCCTGGCAGCACGTTTACTGTGTATATGCTTTTCGCGGTACCTCTCCATTCTTGGCTACTTCGCATAGGCAGTATACATCGTTTTCTTTTTTTTCGGGTTTTCGCGGGTTTTCCACGACACTTGCTACTAAGATTGGGCTTGGCTGGGCCGAGTGAGGCGAGTTGCAGTAGCAGGGTCAGGTAGCGAGATATGGGGCTGGAGATGAGAGAGAGGAGGGGAAGGCATTACAAGAAGTGGTTATTGGCCTCTTATACCTGCACTTTTTAGAATCCACAATGAAAACATCGACTCTGTGCTTGTCCTCTGAGGAAAGGGCCTTTTTTTTCGGGGATTTTTTTTTTTTGCGCGGCCAAACAAAACGGTCTTCTGCTTTAAAAGTGCTTCGAAAATGCATATTTCGATTTTTGTTGACAAGAAAGACGAACAGGTATGTGTGAACGATTTTTTTCAACTTTTTATTACTGCAGTTGCAGGGTTGATACGAATGATGATGATGATGATAGTGATGCGTTAATTGTTACGACGAAGTAACTACGATTTGTTGTGCGTATTGGTATTGCTGCGTTCAGCCTATGTTTACAGCTAAGGGATGAAACACAGACTGCATCCAAACATGTCTTCTTGAACATGATATTTAGATTGATCCCCTATCTCCTAATCTATTATTTTATATAAAAGGGTGAGAAACCCCTCCGACTTTAGCGTTCGCTGTCTAGTTTCAAATTCCACGTGCCCATATATTCCCAGCAGGACGCCTTTTTATCCGAAATGCCCTTCCAAAAAAGCATTTTCTCATAGCATCGCGCTTTGTTTTTTTTCGTAACTTTACCTAAATTTTTGGAGCATTTGTCTGGTTTTGTTTCTCCGGCTCTACGGCGGGGCAACTGTCGCCGAAAGGCGAATCGTTTTGTTGTGACTAAGATATTTTTTTTGAAAATCGTTCCGAGAAAATTT